ATCAAATTTTTTATGTCTTCATTTTAAAAATTGAAAATGTTCAAAATAGATTAAGATTCTAATTTGATAAATTCTTTCTTGCCAACCGGTTTCAGTTAGGAGTGATCAATCTCGCTGCTGGAAAATATCGTCATCTTTCATCCACCAAAATGACGAACGCCATACTAGAAATGCGAGCTTTCTGGTTTTATTTTTACTTTTTTTTAAACGTTTTTCACCAGAGCAGGGAGCATGGAATCGGACTGGCTCTTTGATTGTTTGCTTAAACAAAATATTGCATTGCAAGATAACCGTATCAACGTCATGGGGTGTTCTTTACTCCCATTCACGGTAATAAATCGAATAACATTAAATGAAACCAACAACATTAGTTTGATAAAGGCATGAAAGAACTGTTACACAGATAAAACTAACAATGCTCATTGCGAAAAGCTACGGAGAACGTAGGCCTCTTCACATGAGAAACATGAACCAAAATTAGATCCCAGAGGCACAATTTCAAAAAAAAAAAAAAAGAATATATGACGCATAAACTTATGGTAAATCCTCCATATATCCAGATTTTTCATGCTACTGATAAGATGATGCCAACAAGAGTTCAATTCACCTCCATAACGATGGAATAAAGTCTTCACCGCCACTGCATTAATTGCTTTTCAGCGCTCGCATAAAAAAGCCCCCTCACAGATCACAGCGGAATGCGACCATTTCTTATGAGAAAACAAGAAACTAATTTATCATCTCATTCAAGCAGGCGACTCAATTGGCCGGATTGTACGAGGAAGCATAAACTCAGCAAAGATAGGATAGTGGGATGATGGATAAAAACCGTCAATATTATCGTTAACCACTTCACAAGATGCAGGGATTAGAGAACGTCCCCTGAAGAGAATCCAGTCGACATGCAAATCCTGCGTTTGGCGATCCCAGCAGAGGCATAAAGCTCTAAATATCAACTTCATGAATTCCATGGCACCTTGTTTGTTACCTGGAAAGAGTTGTGAATGTAATATAAACTTCTATATAAACTTGTGGCGTAATGTTCAGCTTTATATGTGGCTTAGAATTGAATATAACTCCATGTAGCAAATCTGGCACTCTACCTTCTTGTAGTCTATTTCTTCAGTTGTGGAGAATTTGGAGGACACCAACTGATTTTTAGTAGGGGTTTTTGTCTTCAGACCCAAAGGCTTACCATGATTTATGTTTAAACCCAATTACTTTTATTTGTCTCTTTAGACGCAATCAATTTTGTCTGTTTATCTTTAAACCCAACTTCTCAAATAAACTTCATACTTACAGGATCTCCCCTAAAAATTTTCAAAAAATCCAAATTTATCCCTTTCTTTTTCTCATTTAATTCTCTCACCCGCTTTACTCTTTTATTTCCTTCTTCAACTTTTATAAATCCATTAAATACTCATCAATTCTCTTAATTCCTCAGGTTTAAATACTAAATTTTGGTGAGCACTCATCTCTTTTTTGGAATTTTAAGGTATAAATTCTCTCAATTCCTCAACTCCTACTTTTGTAATATACTAGTTGACATGCACGTGCAATACACGTAATTGAATATCATAGTTATTAAATTGATAAAATAGAATAAAAATAAAAAAGAAAATACAGTTTTCGTGAGATTGATCAACAACTCAATAATCTCTCTCAAATGAAATATTGTTATTGTTTCCTTCAACCCAGGCTGTGGCCACGTGATATATTATTTGTGAGTTATAAACACATTGATCTAGTACAACATCTCTGTTTATTAGTATCTTAAAATCTTCAAAAGATGGGTGATCATTCAATTCGTAAAAGAATTTTGCATATAAATTTACTTGTAATATGCCCATTAACTTTAGTTGTGATTTGGCTCATATTCACATTAACTTTTAATCATATTCACATTATCTAATATTCTCTTTCAATTTTATAGCTCATTCTCTGTATCATAGAATTAAAACTGAAAGTATGAAAAATTATTTTCTTGTAAAATTAGAGCAGGAATATTATGATATATTTCGTCATGTGCTCTAAATATTAAAAAAATATTCTTTGATGCAAGGTCCCTATCAAATCTTGTCCCAAATAATGTGAATAAAAAATGCTATTATAACTCACTTGCCTAAGACAATTGTATTGTACATAGGACATATAACTCATCTAGAATATCCACATCTACTAAGTTAATTTTGTTGTTGTGAGAGAAAAATGTTAAGAGACTCGTATTCAAATTTTTTGACTCTATAGAAGACACAAGAATTTAGAGTGCATAGCTTATATATCATAAAGAATATACTGGTTTATGAAGAATTTTCTCTAATAACGATATTATTACAATAATATTACTATTAAGTATTAAATCAAATTTATTATATAAGATTATATGATCCTTTTTAATAAATTATAAAGTATATATATGAAAATCTCGATGCTTATGGCTAGTAGTTGGGCTCCACAAAATAAGTTAACCTTATATTATAGTTTGCTATTAGTAGTACTGTTTGCAATGTCATTACATTTCCTCTTTATCTTATTATTCACGTTTTTCTGATATAAGTTCTCTTTTGCTAATCACTCAATTAGCTATATTGAGTTATTATAATATGAGATGTTAGAATATTCTTTTCTGTTTAAAACGTATTGACATGATTTTCTTAAAAAATATATACACGTAGTAGCAATAGTATATACTTCAGTTCAACTCAAACATTGGCTTGAAGCTATTTAGAGTGAGGCTCTTTCTACGCTAGAATGGTGATATAGTGATTACGTAATCCGAAAGTCAGAAGAAATTTCGATAAAGGAAAAGTAATCTAATATATCAAATTAACAACTAATTTATAAAATATAGATGGGCAGTACAGATAGCTATAGGAAGTAATGTATATATCTTTATAAAAATTTCATAGTGAAAGACAAACTACAATCATCCTAATTTAAGCATAAATAATTATTATTTTAATAACTAATTTAATATGCATAACTATGGAATAAATCTCAAGCAAAATATAGAAATTAAGATTTGTATTATCTTGTAGGTTAATAAATAAACGTTATTAGAGCTCCTATTTATATCAACTTTAAAAGTAATAATTTAAATTATTAAGCGTTAAATATTAGTTCATGCGAGAAAATAAAGTAATCTATGGTCTATATACCTATATAATCAATCAATCAAAACGTATTAAATTATGATGACTACGGTCAAAATTATATGATGGGTTCACATTAAGTACAATTTAGAAAAAATAGTACATTAAAGTCAAAATCCTTTTAACCACTATTTAGATTGTCTAAAATAATTTGCATATATAAATTGTACTACCTAGGAATAGTGATGTGCACACTTAACTATAACCTAATACATCTTAAGAACGACTTGTTCTTCAATATCATCATTAATTGACGTATCTATGCATTACACTGAAAACACAATAAAATTTTAGAAAACTACAAAAGAAACACCCTTAAAAGTTTTAAAAATTATAGAAAAAACACCCTAAATATTTGTAATTTTAAAATATGCAAAACTATTAAACATTACATTGAAATCAAGGAATTACAAACAACCATTGAAAATTTTCAAACTTTGGAGGGATAATTTGCAATGTACTAAACTTTAAGGGTTTTGTTGTAAATTTTAAATTTAATAAAATTTTTAATTAGTTATGTTCTTTTCAAAAAAGTTATGGCTAATATTGACCATGAAAAGTTTTTCCTGAACTTATACTTTTAAAGGGAATATGATATTTTTTGTAAATTTTTAATTTTCTAGGGTTTGTTAGTAATTTGTATATTCATTTTAGCATCTATAGGTTAGAAATTCTCATGGTATTTTTTGGTAAATTGTGAATTTTAGGGGTTTTTTATAATTTTTTAGACTTACAGGCCTTTTCTACAGATTGTAAATTGTTTATAGACTATTATAATTCCTATGTTTTCAATTTACTAATGAGTTTAAAATTCTCAGGGTGTTTTTTGTAAAATTTGAATTTTGAGTGTTTGCTTATAATTTTTTAAATTTTAAGAGTGTTTTCTATAAATTATAAATTATATAGGGGATATTTGTAATTCTTATAATTTCAATGTAGTGTTAGGTTATTAGAAATTATCAGAATTTTTGTAAATTTTACAATTTTGAGGGTTTTATTTTACGATTTGTAAAAGTTGAGTGTTTATTGCAAATTTCTATAAATTTTTTGAGGTTGTTTGTATTATTTGTAGGTTTTTAGTGTTTTTATAGGTTTAAAATTTTCAAGGTGTTTTTTACAAATTTTAAATTTTTAGGGGTGTTTTTGCAATTTTCAAAATTTACAAGATATTTTCTCCAAAGTTAAAAAACTTTTATTTTCTAGCTAGCATATGTTTTTTAGATTTCTCGCTGAATTAAAATAAATAAAATTATAAATAGGATAAATAATTAAATAACCAATTTAAATAAGATAGGATAATTAACATAGATTAGGATAACAATGTAATATTAAAAAAAGTTAAGGGTAATATTGACCATGAAAAGATTTTCCCGAACTCGTACTTTTAAATAGAGTATGATATGATATGATATAAATTCACATGAGCATTTGGGACAATTATAGCAATAATTTGTCATATTCTTCATCAGAAATTTTCTCATAATTATTCTTTATTCCTCATGATTGTTTATTGTTTATTACAATTAATAAGAATTAGTATTGCTAAACAATAAAAAAATTTGATTTTAATTTCATAGTTTTGATTTTAATTTCATCTGTTAAAAAGAGAGGGTGGGGGGGGGAGAGAGTTTTGAGGAGATATGGGGGTATTTTGGGGTTTTACCTCCTAAAAGTACAAATATAATATATTTTAACTATGAATTATACTAGTTGGGTTTAAGGATAAAAAGGTCTGGTTGGGTTCAAAGATACAAATTAAAATACTTGAATTTAAACATAAATTAAGGTAAAACTTTGGGTAGTATTATGGTAAGTCAACCTTGAAGTCAACCTTGACCATGGCTTCCTCTACACCCATGAAGAATTTACAGAGACAACAGTCATCCGAACTTTTTCATAGGTTAAGGCTTGATGATAATACTTGCAATGATGAAACAATGGAAAAGCAAGGTCATGTCTGCTCCTTTTCAACCTCTTTCTGTGCGGGTACTAGTAGCTATATACACATGTTCTTTCATCTCCCATATTCTGGATTACTTTTGTGCAATTTGTTCATTATTATTAGGGTTATACATAAACCCCCCATAGTATCATGTTCTTTCATCTCTCCCATATTCTGGATTACTTTTGTGCAATTTTTCATTATTATTAGGGTTATACATAAACCCCCCATGCGCCTGACACTTTTTACTCTTTAAATTTGGTATTGGCATATACAACTATTGAGGGCTTCTTCTTCTCTCTTGTTTTTTCTTTTATTTTCTCTCTCTCTTTTTTTGAATCATTTACGTAAGGGTTAAAAAAAACTCCACTCAGGATGTATCTGCCAATATCAGACAATGTGTGATACTACAGGGACCCATATGCATTAACCCTATGTGATACTACAGGGACCCATATGCATTAACCCTATTATTATTATTTTGTGCCTATACGTGTTACACATTTTCCTGCTGTTTTCTCATGTTTGTGCGCGCGCGTGTTTTGTTAGGGGATCGTGTTCACACTTTTCTTCTCTCTCTGGGTTAGTAGGAGGCTGTGCCTAGGTTATGGGGTGTTAGTTGGAGTCTACTGCTGATGATTATGATGATGATGAGGCTGGGTGTCATTTGGGCAGTGACACCCACCTATCCAGAACCCAGGTCAAGAATAAGACCTCTTGCAGCAGTAGGAGAGAGTTCCCTCACAAATATTGTTTATGTGTTCTTACATGTAGTTTCATATGATTCAATGTTTTTATCAATGATATAAGCTATCAGAAAGATAGCTGTATATAGCTACAGAAAAAAACATTTACGGTGAAAACCAAGCATAGTAGAATAAAGCTACACAAACAAGAAATATTTTAACTCGTGATTTGAATATACCATTTCTTAATGCACCAGAGATCAGAATGAAAGGCTAAGAACTGCAGTATTATAAATCAAGCAGTGGCAGAGCCACACTTAGCTCAGGTTGGGCAAGTGTCCAACTTGAACTTTTGAGAAACTTATGCTTACCTTATGCTTACATTAAGCTTATGGATCTATAATATGACATATATTACATCTCTGGCCCGATGCAGTCTTTTATTTTGCTGTGTGCCTCACCCAAAATTTTAACTTTTGGTAAAGCTAAACTTTCAGTCATTCAGTGTCCACCTTAATTAAATCATACATTCAATTGCTTAGATAGGTCCACTTCTTTTTCAGGTAAAAAAATTTCTGTTTTACATATTTTCCTCTCTATTAAAATTGAAACATATTTTCTCTATGCAATGAAGTATTCGAGTTTTTAAAATTATGTTTCACTTTTTAGCGCCTAACCTAAATAAAGTCTCTGGCTTCACCCCTGTCACATGGAAAGTTTGTTATAATATTCAGAAGGAAATGACTTACCTTTGAACCCATGATATGTGCGTATAAGTGAGACATTCTTCCGCACACGAGCACTAGGCCAGACATCTCTCATATCACCAACAACACCATGTTCCCTGTAAGATTATGGCAAACTGTCACGTACCAAAAACTTGTCGGTGATGACAGAAGCATATGAAATAAAAATAGGTACATTCTTCATAAAAATTGAGGACATGGAACAACTAGTGGAATCATCAAAAGGATGCACCCAGGTGGTAATAAATGTGTTAGGGCTCATAATCAGTACTTAAATACTGATGCACAAACGAGAAAAACAGAATAAAGGCTCTAATCAGCTAAGATCACCTTTAAGATAGATTACCAATGATATGTAATAACATACCATCCCATGTAATATGGTGCTATTGATGAAAGACCTAAATTAGTGAAAAGAATAGATTATTGGAGTAGCTAGCTAACTGCTATCTTGCTTTTGAACTTTGAAAAACATCTCAAACTTACGGTTTTTTTCATATTGTAAAAAACATCAAATAAGAACAATAGTGGTAACCTAACTACCCAAATCACTAGAATCAAAAGTTTCACTTTATGATTGGCATGTACAAGTATAATTCATCAATCACGACATACCTTGATCTCCCAAGTAAAAATCGACCCGTTGTTGACTCCTTTTGTGTGTTAAATCCTCCACAGTATATAACTGGCAGGTTTGGAGGCAATGATGCAATGTGTTGCCATGTAAGCAAAGCGCTTCTTCTGCGTGCACGAGGACTGAATTCATCGAGGTTTGTATTTACAATCTGAAAGCTGAAACCTGGGGGTTCAACTCTCTTCATTTGAAATGTGTAGAAATCATGTCAAGGTAACAATAATTCTCAGTGTAATAAAGTAGGAAAAATAAAATAAAATATGTGAAACACAAACATGACAAGTTAAATGGATATCGCCCAGGTAGCAATGCATGGCACAGTTGACCCCCATGATATGCTTCCAGGGACAGAAGGTGATTCTGACAACCAAAATGTACCACCTCCAAGAAGCTCCACCTTCATCAAAGAAAAGTTTTAGTTCTTCAAGTATGAGGATTTAAAGAAAAGTTTCTGACAACCATCTACTGCTAATTGTATAACAACATTGTTTTAAAAAACATTACAAGAACCTGTAGCAAACACCGAGAAAGTACTTGATACCTTCTCCTTATCATAAAAGATCGTGCAGTGTTCATCTGAGGTGTCTTGTGACCCTTTTCTTGAAATCCCAAATTGATCATAGCCTGGATAGTTGAAATGCGTCAAACTTCAATATTTCATATCTAGATTTTATGCTATTAAACAACTCAAATATTAATATTCTTAGTCTATATCAATTTTATGCTATCAAACAACTCAAATATTAATATTTCTAACAAGATTTTATGCTATCAAACAACTCAAATATTAATATTCTTAGTCTATATCAATTTCTCAAGTTGCAAACAATGAAGATAAAATGTCAATTCGAGATGGTGTTGTTCTTAACTATAGGGAAGTTTTTTCTGCTAGAGATCAGTTAATTTAGTTTGAATGTACAATTTATTACTTGTTTTTAACTCCCGCTCTTTGTTTAGTCGAGTAATCTCCTATTTCTGCGCAATCAGGATAATGTTATTTTCCGATGTTATTTTCTGCATCAGAATAATAAATATATGAGTAGAACATAGGTAAAGGTATTCTTCAAACTTGGTGAAGTGTAAAATCCTATCGACATGTTAAGCTGATAAAGATTCATGTATAAAAGTCTCAGGAGAAACTATATAAAAATTAAAATCAAGCCAGAAATGATTATAACAAACAATGCATGTAATGACAATGGCATCCAAAATAAACACATGGTTAACCTCTGTTAGGCTCAGGGCAACAGTAAGTCTAATCCACTAAAGAATTTATTTAACCTACCCGCATACAATTTAGTGATCAACTCACAACTTTACTCAAGAGACGACCAAGCGAGTGTGATACAGTTCCATTAACAATGCCATAAATGTGGTAAGGGTGAGCATCAATTGGAGCAAAGTAAACCAACTAAAGCGATAAACTTTAGTCAGTGCGTTTCATTTTAGAATATTTTCGGGGTAGTTCGGTTGAAAAAAAACTCTCAACAAGGACCAACCTAACTGACTGCTCTGTCAGTTCTCCAAAAATCACTCTTCTTCCTTTTGATGGTCCCCAAATCTCCTTATCTATCTGCCTCAATTTTTATTATTATTCCAATTGCTTTGCATCATTATCTCATTGATCCCTTAATTCAAATCTTTCTTTTATCAATCCCTTGATCCTCGTCAAAACCGTTTGCTCATCTCTAAAAATGAGGGTTATTGGTCTGTCGATCTTTATCATATCTTAAGTAGATATATAACAAGAAGTCACCTGAGTAGGCAAAGTATTTTTTTTCCAATCCAAATAAGGAATATGAAACACATGCACTGTGGGCGACAATTCCTACCGACATAGCTTCTCTATAAGTCGTCTCTAAATTTCGTAAAAAGGACAAGATAGAGCTCTATCTTCTTTGTGCTCTTACCAATGTCACAATTGGCTTGAACCCCAAACTACTCTAACAAAATTGTGTCGTTATCGTCTAAATAATAATCATTGACATTGTTTGGGAAGGATTACATAATTCGATCAAGACGGCCGTGAAGAATCAAAAGAGGATCGATTAAAAAAAACACAGAATCATATATTTCTTGATTAGAAGCAAAGGTTCTATCTTTCATAACAAACCTGGCAAACACTGCTGAAGGAACTCCAGCTGCCACTTCAAACCTACAAAAAAAAACCCAAAAATACCAAAAAAAATCATTCTTTAGTTCTTTCTCAAGCAACAGAGAGAGAGAGAGAGAGAGAGAGAGAGAGAGAGAGAGAGAGAGAGAGAGAGAGAGAGAGACTTGCTGAGTGCAGAGAATAGTAGGAGAGTAGCTCGTGATGACGCTGACGCAGATCTCCCTCCTCTTCTCCCAAGAGTTAGGGCTCTCGCTGCTCTGATCTCCTTCCTGAAGATTCAGCGTCATCACGGTGATCGAAACCCCACTACTCATCCTCGAACCGATCCCGATAATAAAACCTCAAATCTCTCGATTCATTTGATCCCAATTTAGGTCTCTTTTTTTTTGCCCTAATTTTTGTACACAAACAGAAGTGATCGAGTTTTTTCTTTCTTTTTTCAATTTTTTTTTTTTAGAGAGAGCGTTTGAAGAAGAAGAAGAGAAGTAGAAAAGAGTGAGGCCGAAAGTTACGACCCTGTAAGAAATGGGTTCTATGCGGACATCAACGTCCTTCGAGATATCTATGCGGGAGGAATCTGTGCCGTTGGATTTGTTGGTTGTTATTTATGCGTACTGATTTCGAGAACGAGGGGTTGGTCGAGCGAGGGCCGTGGCGCTGTCAGTGTCACGTGTGAGGAGTCAGACACTGGCGCAGTGGAATCAACTGTTTCCAACAACTTTCTATCAATTTTACAAATGAATAAATTTTCACTGTAGACCCAAATGAGATTTTAATTACCAAAATCGACTGTTTTTTTTTAATTACCAAAATCGACTCGTTTTATGCCACGTAGGATTAATCATGTTTCCTAATTAGTCGGGGTTGGCAACCCCGACTGTTTAGGAATTGTTAAACCCCAATTAGAAGCCTTAAAACCTGATTAGTTGGGGTTTAACAATTCCTAAGCAGTCGGGGTTGGCAACCCCGACTAATTAGGAAACAGGATTAATCCTACGTGGCATAAAACGGGTCGATTTTGATAATAAAAAAAAACAGTCGATTTTGATAATTAAAATCTCATTTGGGTCTACAGTGAAAATTTATTCTTTTACAAATTCTTTTAGGGAGGCACTAGGGGCACACCATCTACCACATTCTCAATCACATCATCTCTCTTACTACAGTGTACGAGGCCCACATGATATTTTAAACAATAAAATATCATGTAGGCCCCGTACACTGTAGCAAGAGAGGTGGTGTGGTTAGGAGTGTGATAGAGAGTATGCCTCTATCATTGTTTATTCTTTTACATCGCTAACTCAAAAACAAAACCCAAAAAAAATTGATAATTGTTGTTATTTAATAAATCTCGCGCTCTCTCATGGGCACGCACGTTGTCCTGGAAATTCGCGGTGAATCGTTGCTCCTTTATTCTATTGCCGTTAATTTTGCGTGATATATTTTCTTTTTCACATTTGGTTTAATTGAATGAGCAGTTCTTTAATAGAAATAAACCCTCTCTCTCTCTCTCTCTCTAGAGGGGGGCACGAAAATATCTGTATTCTAGGAGGTATCAAAATATCGGTTAAGATACCGATATGGTTATTATAGTCTATAATCGATATCGTATGGTTATAGATATGACTATGTAGTGAAATATCTGTATTCATATTCAAACTATCAGACTATATATTTGTCCTACCGTTGCAGCAATTTTAGTTCTTAAATTAATGGATTTGAGGTTAATTTTGATGATCAACCCATCTAACCTTAGCTTTTCACATATATCAAATATATTAATGAACACTCTTGTATTATATGAACTATCTTTTTTAAAAGATTATCTAGTTTTCTCATATCTTTTTTTGTATCCAGATGAATATTCGCTTATGCATCCACATGTATGTCTATATCCCTATCCGATTTTAGCCGATATAAATATGAATTTTTCCTACCGAGACGTATCTGTATCCGTATGGGTAAAACGAATACAGCCATGATAAGCATCGTATCCAAGAAAGCGATTCTGGACTGTATGCACCTCTCTCTCTCTCTCTCTCTCTCTCTCTCTCTTCACTGGGGCAATGGTTAACAAAACACATTAGTTATTAACTAAATATGCGAAACGGCCAACGAATACTACCAACTTATAGAAGCCATAATAGTTCCATTTTTCACTATAACAAAGCCAACAATATGCTAAAATAGCTAATAACCACTACATTCACTCTCTCATCATTTGTTTGCATAAGCATATTTCTAAACAAGAAAAAGTTCTATTTAAAGAACAATTAGACATTTTTTAGCTAGAAATAATCAGGTATAAGACCGATGTAGTCCTTGGAGTGATATGAAAATTGCATCGAATTTAGACTAATTCCATCTTGTAAGCGGAGTAATAACAAATAGTTTCAGGACTTTCAAGCTCTCCCCAAAAGTAGAATAATACCTATCACAAATATTTCGAGTCCTTTTTCCCCCCGGCGACTTGAGAGTTTGATCTCTTAACTCCAGCCATAAGCCCATAAAATGCTGAAAAATAATTGAATACGGTAATCCTTTCTTTAATATTGCAAGATTGTTTATGCTCATGAAACAATGCTCAATCTCAACTATGTTGGAACTCCTCACACAATCAACAAAGATTTATTCTGAGACTTTAACATGTGACTACAAATCCCGCAACCCAAACAAAATTCCATCAAAATCCAAACCAAGACCTGCTTAATTTTTAAGATATTGGTTTGGATTTTTACAAGGAATATCTCAACTTCATTCAACTTGTTCAAGCCAAAACCTTGTGAAAAAAAATCACAATATCGAATAAGGAAGAACCTGAGCCAAAGATTTAAGCAGAGTTCTTCAAGACCCATTCAACCAATGTTGAGACTCCGAACCCTGTTGCAGCTTTTTTCTTATCGTTCCACACTGGCCCTGCCATGTCGATGTGTAGCCATTGAACCTTTTCATCGACAAACTGTAAATTAAAAGGTTCCAAAATTAGTTTCACAATTTGATTCTAACCACTTGTTTATTTCTTTTTCTAATGTAGGGAATTTCACAAAATTAGCAAGAATCTTGGGGTGTTTCGCACAAATTTATATAAATTTTCCATTAGAGAAAACTACCATGAAGTTTTTTACTGTGCTAACATGTTTGACGGTAGTTTTGCCCATATTTACTTTATATGTCTTCTATATTATCCTTATGAACTTAGTGGGCTGACAGATGTTAGTAAGGATGGTTTTAGAACTTTTATCCACGGCTTATCATTAGCAACAATATCCAATAGTTCATAGTATTTTTCTGCAGTATTAAAAGTTTATGATAAAATGTTTATGGTAGTTTTGTGCATAACCCCCCAATGTTCATGAAATTTACCCATGAAAAAAGAACGAATGGAAGCCATCCATAAGTAAAGAGTTATCTTATCTGTCACAACGTAAAAAAATTCTCAAGACAAATGGTCACTTATCTTGACATGTGAAAAGAAAAATGAAATTAGAATTGAGATTGAACTTTGAAAATTTTGATCCCCTCCACTTGGATGGAACACTATCTCATGGCATCTCTCAGAGGGTTGCTTTTTTATGCCTACTATCATGGATCACCGATGGGGTTTCTTTACAGGCTTTCTAAAAGTTGACTCCATATTTAAGTTTTTTGACTTGTTAGATTCACTGAATTGTTGTAGAATAATTTATCTGAGAATATGAATGCAAGAATAATTGTTTCAATTTTCAGTTATCGTAATATTCTAATTATGGGTAGGAGTTTCTGGACCTGCTTCAAGAAGAGTGCAGCGGTGATAGCACCACCTTGACGTCCTCCGGTATTAACCATATCAGCTACGCCAGACTTCATGGAGTCCCAGTAGCTCTCCTCTAGTGGCATCCTCCAAAACTTCTCTCCAGTAATCTCTGAGGCAGCAACAATCTCCTTTGCTAGGTCATCACTTGGTGTGAAGAACCCTGTCATTAGAAAAACAAAATAAACCAACTTTCATAACACTGGCTATATTCCTCAAAAAAATTATGTTCCGATAATTAGTCGCAATGGCCATAATGTGTTTCTTCCTCCCTCGACTATGTCGGGTTCTTAAATTGGCAATGACCGTAGTTATTTCTTTGAATTCAAGTGAGGAACCTTTTTAGTTGGAATTATTTTGGAAGATCATGTTATTAGAAAACCCATTTTTTAGCTGTATAAATTTGAAATATATCAGACAATTTCAAAAGGTAGAAGAAATTAAAGTCGGTAATTACTGTACCTGCAATACTGGGCCCAAGTGCAACTATACAAGCACCTGTTAATGTAGCTAGGTCAACCACCTGCCACATTTCAATATACCAGTGTCAACAAAATGAAATGTTATCGTAGTAAGGTAAAGATGATATGGATTGCCATAAGTTCACGACTGAAGTGCACAGGAAATACTCAAATCCATATCAGACAGAAGGTGAGCTTGGCTATTGTACCTTGCCATCAGCTGTAAGTGCAAACTAGCACAAGAATGAGAACTTCATGACGTTGTAGGCTACTTTCTTAAGTCAAAATCATAGTTCATTGGGCCAACAGCAAAATTATAATGTTTACTGACACAATTTTTCTGAGATCATCAACTTTGTCGAGTTAAATGTGCACTTATCTACATTGATACCTTAAGCCCCAGCGTTACCAATTCTGCCTTTCAGTATGTCCATACTTCATATGATTCATCATCATCATCATCATTTGAGTCCTCTGCCGTCAAAATGGGATGAAGCATGAAGCACAAGGATCCATGAAACATTTGACAAAATAGTATGACCTGAAGGCTGTAGCTAACCTGACTATTGTTGCAAAATATGAAGGAAAAAAAAGGACTTCCACACTAAGCGTCATTCTAGAGTTTACAGCTGAACCCCTTGACTTGATTGAACGTTTTAGGAACAAGCAAGTATATATTTCATCATGAGTTTGATACCTTTTCAACACCTTGGTTACAGGTATAAACCAAAGCATCTGCAAGAGTAAGCCTTCCTTCTGCATCAGTATTGTTTACCTGCAATGAAAGACAAAATAATAACAGTGAAGATTTTATCCTAGATCTTTGACAAAAGTTAAACAGATAGATAATAAAAGGCAATTTTGACCCCTAGCATGGGCCAGGGTAAGCTCAAACCTCATACTTCTCAAATCAAAACCTCACTTTTATGAATGACAGTGCTCTAGCAATAGGAAATAAGAGTGAGGGAGTGCATGTTTGCGTGTGTGACATTGAACACATGGCATTGCCAAATGATCAGAATATTAGGAAACCTTATTTTGTTGAATCACTTTTCCTGACCAGATATCCTTCTTTCAGGTACTGAAAGTGGATGAAATATGAAAAGCATCAAAAGTAGACTCTTATTAGTTTGTGTATAAACTGCTCAAACTATATTCCTTATAAGAAACCGGAAAATATACCTCGATTGTTTTCCCATTAGAAGCTGTGAGTATGTCACCCGGTCTCATTCCTGTACCACTGATCATATTTTCACAGGCAGCAACAACAAAATGAACCTAGAGAAGAAAATAAGTTTGATACTTCAGCAAATCAAGAACTTCATGTTCCTAAGGAAAATTGGAAGTTGCATTACACAAAAACTTGCCTCCACCCCAGAAGGTTTAATTTGTCCAATTGCTTTTGCTGCCCCAAGTGTTGCTGCAGAACCTCCCATATCAAATTTCATAAGTTCAATGGAAGAGCCTGCCCCAGCCTTAATATTGTAACCGCCACTAAAACAAATAGGAGGTAAAATTTAATGAAATTATAAACTGCTTTTTGTTAAGCTTTCAGGTTAGTATGATATACAAACATTCACATTGAACAAGCTAGTAAATTACAATGTCAGGGTCCCTGTTTTTTGTACCATGCTGTAACATTCTTTACTTTTGAGAAATTTTCTTTTTAAAAATTGCCAAGATCCCCATATGGAAGATCTACATTCCATTACGTGTATGAACAAATGAGCATATGAACATAGGAACATATGAACATACGAAAAGTGAATGAATGAACTGACAAATTCACAAGTGTGAATACTACAAGAACAAAAGCTTTGTTCCAAAAATTTTCGGGTCAGACACAAGAGAAATAGATAAACACACATATCTTGTTTAAAAAAAAGGGGGAACTGGAATAATCAACAAAAAGCAAAGGCAGAAAATGCCTTGAAAAGGATTGGTTTGCTGTTTATCTTTTTCAGAGTAACACAGTATCTAGCCTTCATAAGATAAGGCTTACCTGTCAAAAGTTAATCCCTTCCCAACTATAGCCAACTTTCTTTTAGCATCGCCATTAGGAGGTTTATAGCACAAATGGATGAAATGGGGAGGATTAGCAGATGCAGCAGCAACACCTAGGTAAGAACCCATTTTTAGCTCTTTGCACTGCTCTGCATCTAATATCTTTGCAGTAAAGACATCACTGTATGTTGAGGCAATTTTGGAAGCCTCGTCTGCTAGTGCACCTGAAAAAGTCGTCATAAGCAACAATTAGTAATATTGTCAGAAGAAAATATTTAAGCTAAAAGGTCTCCTCCTTTTAAGCCCAAAAAATAATAGTAATGAGGGTAACAAACGTCAAGCTTGTGATTTCCTGTCTGTTATTTCTTAATTACCAGGTGTAAGTACATTGGCTGGTGCATTTACTAGCTCTTTTCCGAAAATCACTCCAGAGCAAACATCACTTGCAAATTTGAGCTTGTTATCCAAATCTGGCCCGGAACCAAAGCCAATAATATCTACAGACTTAAGTGATGCTTTTTTCGATTCTGACTTGAACCTGTTGTCTTCGAAAACCCCAAGCACAGTTCCTACAGAGAAAATGATAGTGAGAAATTAGAAGAACTTGATTTGTAACAAGAGTTTTTATTGTTAAACATCATTGTGATATATGTTGGAGTTGGCTGAGGAACAGTTTTTTTACTGGTTCATGTAGCTATTCTAGTGAGGGGTTTTTTTTTTTTTTATGTATCTTTTGATTCAAGAGTGAGTTGTAGCTGCTCCAGGAATGCCTGAGGTAAAATTGCACTTCAAGCTCAATTGCTGAATTAAAAAATACTGTTCATTGACCAAAAAATGACCAAAGTTATCGTGAATGTTTTTACTCATATCTTAGACCTATTATTCCATAGTTCAAAGCACAAATTCTGACCTACCATAATGGGAAATAAAGGTTATGTTTACAAGATTTAAAATACAATGAAAGTTAACCTACCTGATGCAATCGCTGAAGCAGCACTAAGCTTAGAATCTTCTGAGACTCCACTTGCAAGAACAACAGCAGCATTACTGGCCTGAGCAGCCTTTGCTGCCGCTGCAACAGCCTCACCAATGCCCCTATATGAAGTGGTGGCTAAGGAGGGCTTATTTGGCCCAAGCCCAACTAAACCCAGCCTTTTAAAATTCAAGCCTGGTAACCTGAGAACTGTTGATTGACCAGCTTTTCCAGTGAAATCCTCCTCAGCAGTAGCTTCAGCCAAAAGACCACCAAGTTGTTCATCTAGCTTTCTCAATATTGAATTCTCGAACTTGGAATCTGAGTCCTTGGACAAATCTTTGTCTGTGAGAGCAACTGCAAGTATGTCTCCGTTCCATTCAGTAACATCGATGTCCTTTGCACAGAATGTGATCTGCAGCAGCAGATGAAAGAAATTGAATATACCATGATGTAAGAAAAATGTCAAAATTCAATTTTGTAAGGAGAAGGATTTAACATGCAACAGATTCAAGGCAAGTATGTACAAAAAACTGATATCGAGGTTTGAATGAGTCAGACTGCCAGCATCTTTACAATCAAAACAAATCATGATAAACTACATGATTGTACCATTCATAACAAAGGCTACAACATAAAATCTTTACTCCTTAAAAGTTAAAAAACAATGATACATACGAAAATTTATAAACACTGCTATCACATGCTTTTGCAAAATATTACAGAAGCAGCAATATCACATGAGAGAATCTGATTAGGTTAGAAGCATATACAGCAGGAAACCTATCTTCTATAAAGATCGTATGATCTATAATCATTCACTCATGACGTCAAATAGACATTTGCAGACGGCGTCTGTAATCTTCTATAATTTTAAACACGTGAATTTGATAATAAAGAGTTGAACTGTGCCTGTAGAAAAGCATTATAAAAGGTGTGCCATGACACTAGACATCCTTAACCTGACTTGTATAATTATATGAAGCGAACAATTCAACTAGTTTACTACTTACGGGCATTGATTTATATGCCCACACAAATAAAGTTTCTTTCAAACAAACACTCCGTAAAATAATATATTCACCGTGGATACATAAGCTCTGTTCGTGTAAGACCTTTTCCATCATTACTAATTTCAAACTAACCTGTGTGGGACCTCCATATACATAAGGATACATAATCCCTACCCAAAACCCCATCATTTAAATATAGAAATCTTAGTAAAACTGTAAAAGTGAATTTGCCTATAAAATTCTTGTTTTCCAAAGATCTCAACCAACTTAAAATCATGTGCACCAAGTGAATAGATACATATGGCAAAGGACTCATAAGGCTAACCATAGATAGACAAGAGCTTGGAAGCTGAAGATGGCTTCCAACTCTGAAACCTAAACACAATAGGATAGTTGCCTGCATACCCTAATGAAGACAACAGAAAAGCTAGGACTAGAGATGATGAGTACATGTTCCTGGATCGGCCAAACTATCTTTTAGAAATGTGACTATTGCTACCGGCTTGTGTGACCAGAGACAATGAGTACGTGTTAGAGAAAAAGAAAACTCTTCTCAGCCTGAAAGAAAAAAAAAAGCAAGAAAATTTCAGAAATGAGTTTTAAACCCATGTAACAGCAGATGCAACAAGTGAGAAATGTATGCAGCTAAGTTTTCTAGGAAATAAGAAGGTGTAATGCTAAAACAGAGCTTCCAGTCTCAGAAGAAATTCCTTCGGAGATTATTTTTATTTTTTTCCTCAATCTGCTGATAGACAGTGTCAAACACAGTGTTGTCTTGTTCGAAATACAGAGACAGAGGTTTCAGTCCTGAAGACTGAAGCATGTTATGCTTTATCTCATCTAAGTAACAACAATTACCTAGTCTAAAGACTGAAGCGTGAGGCAAGAGCTAGGCATAGATCGAGATATGGCTTGCTTATTGGATTAATAATGTTATCCTAGAGAAATTACTTGCTATCATTCCAGCGATTTTTCCTTCGTCGAGGATCTTCCATTCATGATGCAAAGACGCCTTTGCAGACGGTACTCACAATTTTCTAATAATTTGCACCTTTTACTCCTTATTTTGATACTGAATTATTGCTATAAGAAAGTATTTGATGGTACATGTCATGACACTAGATGCTTGTCTTAATCACTATTCTATATGTATAAAGCAAACATCCAGACCAGTTTACAACTTGAGGACTCTTGTCAGCTGCCTGTCTACATAAATAATGTTGTTTCTAAACACACTCCATAAAATGATGCAATCTACACGGGTCCCTATAAATTAGGATAAAACTTAAACTGGTAAAGTCTATTAAAATACACACTATTTCCAAATTAAGTTGTCAGTGGTCCCTCCACTGACATTAGGAAACATACTCCCTACTCAAAACCCCACTGGTGTACACATGGTTAACAACAAAAGTGGATTTGAACATAACCTTCTCACTCCCTAAGGAACTTTAATGATTAATAAAAGCTTGTGCATAATGTGAATAGATATAGATGGTAAAGGATTCTAAAATATAAACCAAAAACGAATAAATTAGGTGTGAGTACCTTAGTGAAGACAACATAAAAAATTAACTCTTCCATAACACATTAAAATTTGCGATGGATCTCAAAACATAAATAAGATGCTATATGTGGACCTCTCTAACTTATGATAAAAGTAAGCCCCATAATACCTGTTTTCAAATATGGATCCCTTTATTAGTGTGAACCAATGATCACTATTCAAAAAATTGGCACTAAACAAGCCACTACCTGGAGCATGGACAGTTAGCCAGAGTCAAACAATAAAATTGCAGATCTTTAGCTACAAATGTGTCCTCATGCAGGAAGTATTTACCATAAACGATGAAGAAAACATGCCTAAGGAAATTCTAAGGATAGCCATTATGAATATGTGTATCAGTGTATGATTAAACAAAAAGGCCAAAGCATAGGTAGTGCTCCTTGATGGTCTTTCAATTACTGATATAGTACTTCATTGTATGATTGTATTTCCACATGTGTGCGGCAAATCTATACCGTTGCATCAGAAGAAATTCCTGCAAGTGGTTCCTCCATTCGTGAAAATAAATAACTCTCCCCATCCAAAGACCCATTGTTCCGGAATGATTCCTAGTCAAAGTTAATTTGAGTGCAGTAGTATTGTCAACTGATTAAAAAGGTATGTGCGCAGCAAGTAGATACAGTCGGCAAAGTACCAACATTAATGAAGAATAGACGCATATTGTGTCTAGGTGGCTCGGTAAACTTAAGAAAGTGTTTGTATGTCTAGATCTAAATCCAAAAGAATCAAAGTAATCACACATGTTCATTAGTACAATAAAAAAAAAACTCAACCTAATCAAATAGCATCAAACTGTTAGCTAGTCCCTATATCAAATAATAATACAGTTTTGAGTGAAAAAACCCTACCTAAAGAAGCTTTTGAAATATCCAAATGGTGGAATTTTCATGATAAACTTGTCATCCGATAAATGTTTGCATTATTCATCATAAAAATAGACAATTTTAACGATGAATATCAACAGCCTGCCGGACATTTCTTCAAACAGATGGCATAAAATCTCTAACAACCAATCAAACAAACTCAATAATATACAATAATACTGAAGATAATTCTAAGCCCAAAATGAATTAACTGAACCATCTCTCAGAAATTTCATCAAACAGGTAACCTACACGCCAAAAGCCCAACTTGACGAAGACCCATCAGCAAGCCAACGACAATAACGAAACAAACCTGAGGGGCTTCAACAACGGAGGGCTTCGTGAGGCCGAGCGTCGCCTGCGCAGTGAACCTCCTCGCCATCAAAACCCTTCCACCAAAGCAAAATCGACGAGAGAAAAGAACACGTGGGCCCCGCAACCTCGCGAAGCAGAGAGCAGAGGAGAGACTGAGAGCAGCGGGCGCGGCACCAGTCGCCATTGCCATCGGGGTGGGTTTTATAGCGGCCCCTAGGGTTTGTAACGTTTCGGGTTTTGTAACGGTTTCGGATTTGTACGCAGCCGCTGCGTTTTCTGTGCGTCACTGTCGACGCTGGCGTCGCAATAGACGAAGGCGAGCGTAGGGAGTAGCACCTTATCCAAACGACCTTTTGATTATTGGGTCGAGTTTTTGGTGATTAAAAAATGATTTTAATTTGACCCGCAGTGGAGGTTCCAAAATGATTTTGCAGTTTCGGATTCGATTTCGGATTATTTTATTATTGATTGGTGCTAATTATTGTTCTATTAACTAGTACAAAATTAAATTTCACAGAATCCGAAAACCATTTTGAAATAAACCTGAAAAGTTTGAGCATACCTTAACGATCAAAAACTTTTCAGAGGTTATCTTTTAACATAAATTGAGAACTATGCCAGAGTTTGAACTTAATTGTAGATTTTACGATGGTTATCTCAAAATAGGCCAATTTTTTTTGGCGGTTTTATGTAAATTTTACACTTGTTTTGAGTCGTCTAAGGGGGTTTGTACTTTTGTATCATGTATGATAGCTATTAACCTAATAGTACAAAAGAAAATATATGGTTATGTATGGTGGACCTTGTCTACACAATTAGATGGTCATCATAGAAAATCACATATTACCAAGGAGAATGCAACATGGTGCGCTCATTAATTTTAAATTTAGTGCTATCAATAAAAGCAGGACAGACTATTGAAGTATCAATGCAAATTAGCAATTAAATTCCGTAGAATTAATATATCTCTCAGTACAATCATCAATTTTAAAAATTATTTGTATATCAAGTGACCCTTCCTCTCTAATAGAGGCCAGGATGATACAGAAGAGGCAGAGTTCAGATATTTTTTTTTTTTTTAGGAAAGATGCGGTGGATGAGCATTATAGGGTTTTATATCAAATTATGCTAAGCTCTAACTAAGAGTTGTTGTAACAACATGAAACTCTCGGGCATTTTTTTAACACCGACATTAGCTCTTGAAAGCAATCATTAATTACTTGCTTGTTCTTATTTAGACGCTTGGAGAGAATTAAACAGGTGTTAAGATACTTCAGCAACTCTTTTAATAACTATAAACATGATTTGGGGGGTGGGGTGGGATCAAACCCCATGAGCTCATATTTTTAATTTTTAATTTTTTTTTTAATATTATGTCCGAACTCCACAGTCACCACATTGGTTGTAAATACAATCATTGATGACGTGTTTTAGAAGTTTATGCAAGCATTACATGTGCCACTGGCAAGAATGGTTCCGTTTCATAACCCGCTGTTTTTATTATTTGAATTATATGTGTGTAAGCACCGACGAAAAAATATAATAAGAATACAATAAAAAAACATATTAAGATTCATACGAGAATTACAAATGACACGCTTTTAGTTACTGGATGCTAGCTCCAACTTATATTTTAATTAGATATTAGCCACAATTTCTATTTTAAACTCATAATTCTCTGTTATCTAATCTGATGTGGGATTATATATACTCTCGTATTAATAACCTTAACCAAGGTAATGCTAGTGCAACCTATATTTAAATTATATTGGTCAAATATTTAATTTAAATACTGAATCCAATGTTTTGACCATAAAAACGATATTAATAACCTATATTTAAATTACAAAGTTTTTGTTTTGTTTTGGTCGACTGACTAATCGACTGATGAGGTCATCAGTCGATCGATCAAGTCATCAGTCGACCGACGAGCTGGATACTGACTCTAACGGTCAGCTCATCAGTCGACTGACGGCCCAATGACTAGTTTTTCCAGGTTTCTATTTTTTTTATCTTTTTGTTGGTTTTGTTGGTTTTTTCTTGGCTTTGGGGTTTCTTATAAATACCCCCACATATCCTTAGTTCAAAGGTTTAGAAAAGTTTATACAAGTTTACAAAGGTTTAAAAGGGTTTAAAGTTTGTTTAGTATTTGTTTACAAGTTTGTGAATAAATTTTCATAAGAGCTAGAAGAGAACATCATTTGGTGTTTGAGCTTCAACCCATCTCTCTCTCTCTCTTGTTATTCATTGGAGAAGTTTTCTAAACTCAAACTCTAGCTTTACATTTATATACTTGTTTGATTATCATTGTTTTAAGCTAGATTTCATATTTGAGTTTAGTTTTGATTTCACTCATTGTTTACACACACCCACTTGAGCTTAAGTATTTTCATACATAGTATTATTAGAGTTGTGAGAGTTGTAACAATTGAGTGTGAGCCTACATTGAGTTCTCATCTATTGTAGAGAACAAATCTTGTTGTTTCGAGCTTTAATTGTGAGGATTCACTTTGTATTACACTAGTACACCAAGAGGAGTGTGTGGTGAAAGACGGTGTCGTCCCAAGAGGAGTGAGGTAGGTGGTAATACCTAGAGAGAGGTTGTAATTCCTAACACTTGAGGGAAACACGGGCTAGAGACAAACACTTGAGGTGGCAACTAGTGTGTTTACATTGTGAGTGATTGTAAAGTTTTTGGTGAAATAGAAAACCGAGTGTGAGGTGTAAACGTTATTCGGGTGAGCGTAGAAAACCCGATTATAATAGTGGAGATCTCCTCGAGGTGAGGAGCAGAGACGTAGGTCGTGGGGACCGAACTCTGTGATCATATCGCTTGTTTGAGTTTTTATTAGCGCATTTATTTTTATGTTCATCTTATATTACCTTTGTCAATTGCTCATTGTTTATATTCCCACTATCTTGTTTGTTTATTTTGTCCTTGTTTGTATATTCTTGCGTATATATCTTGTAGTATATCTAATTTGATCGGATATATTGTTAGTAAGTTTTAATCGGTATAAAATCGGATTAGATTAGCATAAACCCTATTCACCACTCTCTAGGGTTCTTTCCTAGTGGCATTAGGGGGTTTTTAATTGTTACTCAGATACCAAACCGAATCTCTCTCTTATGTACATATCACTATAGAGAATCCTCCTATTTTAATTTTCTGTTGAATGTATGGAATAGAAAATACAAATTTGGATGGAGTGTGACCCATGTTACTAAAAGTATTTATCAAATCTCTTCCTATCTAACGGAACGCTATTGGATCAAATGACAAAGACATTGTTGAGAAAGAGATGGCTTTCCCCGATGAAATAAAACATTTGATTCATGTAACAGGAGAAAGATTTCGCATCCCTTAGCCGTAAAGATATGTGGCCATGAAAAAGGGATTAAGTGGAACATAATTGGTCGGGTCGTAGAGTCGGGAAAACATCCAACAACTATTCCATTCTCATTGTCCATTGAGCCCGCTCTGAATAATCCCCCTTTTGTCAGATTATTACCACTGTAATCATAAAAAGCTATTTTTTCAGGAATTTTAGACCAAGCTTCTGATAAACTCAAATTTTCGGCTAGTCCGGTTAGATCTGTTCCTGGGAGTACCGTCAAAGAAGGAATCTCTTCCAGCCATTTCGTTTTAGGATGTGAAAGTGTGTTTCTCTCTATAAGAACAGTGTGTTCCCCCTTTAAATTTCTAAAAGTTATAAAAAAACCCTGAGAAATCAGGATAGTGTAGATAAATCCCAAAAAATTAAAATCTACATTTATGCCCCTAAAAAGTTGAAATTGTAAAAAAATCCTTTAAAATCTAAAAATTATAAAAAATCCCTAAATATTCTAAAACTAGAAATGACCCCTAAAAATCATAAATTTCAAATAATCCCTTATAAAACTAAAAAAATATAAATAATCCCCTTTAAATATAAAAATTACAGCACCTCTGAAGAATCCAAAATTCAAACAAACGCTTAAAAGTATGAAAATAAAAGAAACAATAAAAATAAAAAAATGAAAAATAGCACCCTTAAAATTTTAAAGTGCAAATTGCCCCTTAAAAATATGACATTTTCAAATTGACCCTTTAAATATAAAAATTACAAAAGATACAAAAAATACAAAAAATCTAAAATATTTTAAAATTTACAAACAACTTTTTTAAAACATAAAGGGTTCTTACATGAAAAAGGTAAAAATTATAAAGGGTCCTTACATGAAAACCACCTTAATTTTGCCCAATTTGTAACTTACCATCATTATTACTTTTTATTTAAACCATATTAGTTGCTTACATGTTCTCAATGTCACATTTTTTGGTATTCCATATTCTTAAAAATATGAAATACTATGATACCCTTAGTCTAAATCAAAAAAAAAAAAGAGGAGGAGAGGAAGGGGGGAGGAGAAGGAGGGGAAGTTGCAGGGGTCGATGGATTAGGACGGAGGAGGAGGTTAAGGCAACGGTTAGGTCATGGGCGGGAGGAAAGGAGGGAGAGGGCAGGTGGGGGGAAGGGGGGGAGAGAGAGCTGAGAGACGACGATGAAGAAGAGAAAGGAGGAGGAGGGAGATAGGAAGGGAGATGAGTGGGGAGGATAGAAGGAAAGTGGTTAGGATTTGGAGAGATCCTAGGAATGGAGGAGATGGTGGAGGAGGCAGAGGATCAAGAGGAGATGGAGAGGAGAGGGAAAAGATGAGATGAGGGAGAACGGGGAGGGGGAGAGGGGATGTAAGGGGTGGGAGAGAGTTGAGGAAAGGAAGAAGGTGGAGAGAGGAGAGCAGTAAAACGGGTATATTTAAATTTTTTTGGGCTAAAGTGTCAAAAATGTTACTTATGAACGTGTAAGTGAACCAAGGTGGTTTACATAAAAAAAAGTTAATAAGTTACAATTTGGATAAAAATTAAGACGGTTTTCATGTAAAAACCCAATTATAAACATTTGTTATTGAATTCTTTTATCAAAAATTATTGGGGGTTAACTAACAGAGAGCGAAACTTATTGAGGTATCGGCCAAAATTTATCATAGGGTATTTTGGTCATTTAACTATACATTAACTAAAGAGTAAATTTTAGGGAGTTTTTTTTACCAAAAGTTACTGGGGCTTTAATGGAAGTTTCAAAGATATTGGGGATTTAGGTCAAACACCTAAACTTATTTTGGTGTTTAGTAAAATGTACACATACTTTAATTTTGGTTTTTTATATATTCCCCAAAATCGTAGGTGTTTTTAAGTTTGACCCAAATAATGACAATTGTAAATTAACCTTAGAAATTGCTTTATTCTCTCAATTTACCTTTCACCTATGCACAACCCTCAACGTTCGCTACAACATCAAAATTTTAACGCGGTGAAAGTCAAAAGATGTT